TAATTACTATAACTAGAGATTAGTTATTGTCTTCGATCCGTATAAATTATATTAAAATATTTAAGTTTCTGCAATAAAATTACACTGTATTATTTTTTGGTGACTTCGTTAGCTGTTACCAGTTTTAAATCTTCCTACGTACTGTGCGCATCGAACTTTTGGAAAAATGGTTCTCTCTTAAAATTATGTTTGCTTAGTTTAAAATAAAACATTTGAATTGAAAACAATACATTGACAGACTGGTTTATTCATTAGTACTTTAAGAGAAACGAACATCTAATTAGGTATATTTGGAAAGGAAGAACAGAAACGTTCACTTCCTTTATGCTTTTTTGGAAAATTACATCAGAAATAAGGAATTTGCTTTTGCAGCAATATCAAGAATCCTCGTCCCGATCTCTTTTAAACTATGCTTTTTTTATAATAGATTACAAAATTGGTAAAGCGCACGTTTACAAGTAGTTTTATGAATTATTGAAAATTAGAACTTATGATTGTTCACATGTATAATAAAATAACTTAAGATATGCTGCTTAAAATTAACAGTAAATTATATTATGCATATATTAGTACGTAGATTAAATTTTATACTATATAGGGTAAAATTATTTAATGAAATGCGCATATATATATAATATAAGTTAGTACAGTATTAACAATTTTATTTTCAAATTAAGCACCCCGATAAGTAGAGCTCAAACCCTATAAAACATTGCCGTTTTATTACTACTATAATGGCACCGCACTAATCACAACTACGTTGCGAAATGATTCCATGTAAAATCTATCATTGGAGAGTTCTGAAGTTATTTTTTATTTAATATTCACTTTAAGCTGAATGTAGGGGCAATTGAAAATTTTTCATTATTTTAGTATCATTACAAACAAAATCGATTATGTCGTACAGCTCGCTCACAATTAATGAGTACAGTACAGTATTGTACGTACACGTAAGCTTCCGCATCAGTATCAATAAACAAGCTTATTTGAACATTTTAAGCACCTAGCTTGGTTTAAATTTTATTTTTGTACAAATTAAAAAATAAAGTTAGACTATTTTGTAAAAGATTATCGGAAACGTATGCTATAAATAACAACGAAAAAACTTATTTGATACTACGTATATATGTCGTTGAACATGAGTCTAACAGCCGCTGAACTCCGTGTACTTGGATGGTACTATCAAAAAGGCATTGGAATCGAGCAAGACGAGCATAAAGCTTTTGAATACTATAAAAAATCTGCAGACATGGGATATGCAACTGCAACTTTCGATGTTGGGTTATTCTAATGGAATCGGTGTTGAAAAGGATAAACATAAGGCATTCACTTATTATCAAAAATCTGCTGATATGGGGCACGTTAATGGAACATATAACGTTGGATATTGTTATCGAAATGGAATTGGAGTTGAAAAGGATGAAAATAAGGCATTCATTTATTATCAAAAATCTGCTGAGATGGGATTGACTAATGGAATACTTGCACTTGGCAACTGTTATGAAGGTGGAATTGGAGTTGAAAAGGATAAACACAAAGCATTTATTTATTATCAAAAATCTGCTGAGATGGGTAACGCTAATGGAACATGTAATGTTGGATATTGTTATGAAAAAGGAATCGGAGTTGAAAAGGATGAACACAAGGCATTCATTTATTATCAAAAATCTGCTAATATGGGTGATGCTCTTGGTGCAAATAATGTTGGATATTGTTATGAAAATGGAATTGGAGTTGAAAAGGATGAACATAAAGCATTCATTTATTATCAAAAATCTGCTTATATGGGTGATGCTCTTAGTGCAACTAATGTTGGATGTTTTTATGAAAAAGGAATTGGAGTTGAAAAGGATGAACATAAGGCATTCATTTATTATCAAAAATCTGCCGAGATGGGATATTCTAAAGGTATATTTGCACTTGGCAACTGTTATAAAGATGGAATTGGAGTTGAAAAGGATGAATATAAAGCATTCATTTATTATCAAAAATCTGCTGAGATGGGACACGCTACTGGAACATATAATGTTGGATGTTTTTATGAAAATGGAATTGGAGTTGAAAAAGATGAACATAAGGCATTCATTTATTATCAAAAATCTGCAGAGATGGGGAACACTAATGGAACACATAATGTTGGACATTGTTATTATAGGGGAGTTGGAGTTGAAAAGGATGAATATAAGGCATTCATTTATTATCAAAAATCTGCAGAGATGGGGCACGTTAAAGGAATGTTTGACGTTGGATGTTGTTATGAAAATGCAATCGGAGTTGAAAAGGATAAACACAAAGCATTTATTTATTATAAAAAAACTGCTGATATGGGATTTTCCGATGGAGTATATATGGTCGGAAATTGCTATCTCTATGGAAATGGAGTAGAAAAGAATGAACATAAAGCATTTATTTATTATCAAAAATCTGCAGACATGGGGAATGATATTGGAATGCGTGTGGTTGGTTATTGTTATCGGAATGGAATTGGAACACAATTAGATATCGAGAGAGCTACTGGTTTAAAATGGAAAAAAGCAAACTATATGAATTTAATAAATTGGAATATGCAGGATTAGATGTAGATGATAATATAAAATTATTATTGAATAGTGATAGATATCAATTGATTTGGTTTCAATATAACGATTTTGAAAATGTTGAAAAGGTTAATAAAGGAGGTTTTGCAACTGTATACAAAGCTAATTGGATGCGGAGTACTAAGGATCGGAATGTAAATGAAACATTTGCACTTAAAGAAATATATGATCAAGATTACTTTAAGGAGGTAATTTAATTATTATTTCGATTTATTCTGCTAATTTTATTTATTTATTTATTTATTTGTTTGTTTTTAAGCTAAAAGCACATTGTGAGATTGGATATGAGAATCCTTCGTTTTTAAGATGCCACGGTATATCAAGGAATAAAGAAGGAAAATATATTATTGTTTTAAAATATGCGGGTATGGGCTCATTGCGTCAAAATCTTAAAGAAGTATTTCAAATGGGATGGAAAGATAAATTATATTTATTGTTTAGCATATCTAATGATCTTAAGGTCATTCATTCACAAAATATAATTCACCGAGATTTACATAGTGGAAATATTTTGCAAGATGAATTACGTAGCGCGTATATCGCGGACTTGGGTCTTTCGATTCAGTATTTGAAATCAAATGATGGTCGGGTTTGTGGTGTTTTACCTTATATTGATCCAGAAGTTTTGAATGGATGTCAATATACTACGTCTTCTGATATTTATTCATTTGGAATAGTTATGTGGGAAATCTTGTATGGAAGGCCCGTTTCATATAATTTTAATTTAAGTAATACCGAACTTCAATTAAAGATATGTTATGAGAATTTACGACCACATGTTAACAAAGAAGCACCACAATGTTATGTGGAATTAATGAAACAATGTTGGGACAAGGAGCCAAAAAATAGACCTAGAGCTGAAGAAATCTGCGAGATTATTAGTGAGTGGCAAAATAATGAGAAAATTTTGTCAGAACTAAATGATTCTAAAATAATACTTGAAATTTTAAAAGAATCGTGTGTAGATATTCATGGTGGTGCAAGTAGAATTATTCCTTGTACGAATTCAATTTCGAATATAGATAATAGTGAACTTTTAAAACTAGAAATTAATTAATTTAAATTTGTTTTTTTACGTAAGAAAATGAAATAATATATAAAAAATATGAGAACACGTTTAATAATTGAAAAAAAGGAATTAATGGCCATAATTTTGTTTAATATATTCGACGATCTTAAAACCAACCTTTTTTTTTATAAATAATACTATAATTATTTCGAGCTTTTATTAAAAGGAATTGTTTATGACACCTTATTATATGAATTAACTTGTTTATTTTAATAAATATATTTATTATTTTATTCTACATTTAGTATAATATATAAACACAAAAACGCAAAAAAATAAATACATGATAATTTAAATAAGTTACTTCCTAGCCTTTTCAGCTTTAATTTTATCCAAAAATACAATAGCCTTAGGCTGACCTTTTAAAGCAGCTAATTTAATATATGGTTCAGCCTTTACTTTATCAACCTGAACGCCAAGCTTTCCATTCCAATAAATATCACCCAAGTTAAAAAGAGCAGTGGGATTTTCATGATCAGCGGCCATAGTCATATACTTAATTATTTCTTGTACTTTTAATTCATTTAGATCATCTTTATTTTCAAGAAGAGCAAAAGCATACCGAAGTTGAGCATCAGGTATACCATTATCGGCAGCTTCTTTAAAAAGCTTAAGCGCAGCTTGATAATCCTTTTTTTCAGCCCAACCACTTAATAAATAATAACCTTGCCAATATTTTGCCATGTTATTTCCAAGTTTAGCATGACATACAAAACATTCCCAAGCAATACTGTGCCTTTTTTCTTTGTGAGCTTTAATACCTTCTTCAAAAGGCATCAAAGGTTTTATCATAGGTATTGTGTAGTTATCTAAATCAAAACCATCACATTCATCAGGAGTTTCAAATTGTTCAATAGATTGTTGAGAATCGGAAAGGCTAACTTTTTCTTGAAAACTTTTTGGAAGTTCCAAACCTGGAATATCACCAGAGTCGGTTTTTTTAGGATTTATTTGAGGAGAAATTCCTTTAGAAAATACATGTTCATTAAAAAGATCTTTAAGTTTTTGTTGCATTTCTATGTCCGAAGGACGTGCAGAAGGTTCATCTTCCCAAGCTTGATAAATAAAAATTAATTTTAATGTGATTTTAAATAAGAAATTAAAATTGAACAATTAATTTGAAAATTTAAAACAAAAGTAAATTACAAGGATAAATTAATTTACCTCGTTTAATAAGTTTATAAAGCTCTCTTGGAATTGGAGATGGATCAAGAGTGTTTTCAAGAACTTCACGCTTTTTATTTACAACATGCTCTTGAATAGTACTTACATCCTTATCTTTATAAGGAAACCTTTGATGACAAAGTTCCCAAAGCATCATTCCAAAACTATGATCAAGAAATCATGTGTTAAATAAATTTGTAAATAATACTAAGCTTGTTATATATTTCATTACCTGTACATTTCACATTGATGATTATATCTTTGTTGCGAAGATTTTGCAGGTTTTCGCATTTTTTCGGGCGCTAACCATCGAATAATATCAGCCAATGTTTTAATTTCTGAAGATACACCTTGTATAGAACGACTGAGTTCGAAATTTGAAATTTTAGGCTCAAATCTATCGGTAACCTATTATTTATTAAAAAAAGTCAATATGTTTATAGAATTTATATGCTAACAATTATTAGTCTAATAATTATTAGTTCACTAGTCAGTCAACTGAAACTATTAGTCACTAATTGACTAAAAATCCAGTTGATAAACAAATTAATTAAACGACCAATCGACTAGTAATTACTATTTTTTGAGGTATATACGTACCAAGATATTCTCGCATCGAACATCGTGATGATAAAGATTACATTGATGCATGAATACTAAACCGTTAAAAATATCACGTGCGAACTGCAATTTTGTAGGCCAACCAATATCATATTTTAAATACATTTCGCGTAAATTACTATATGCAGCCCAATCGTAAATCATAACTTGACTATTATCCACATATGAAATTCCATAAAAATTGATAATAAATGGGCAAACACCTAATTTAAGAAGAGCGGCCAATTCGATTTGTTGTATTTTATTAAGTGCTTTCTCGACTTTTTCATCGCTCCTTGATCCGGAATCGGTGACTTTAGTAAATTGAACTTTTTTACATGCAACTTCTATTCCACGGAAAATTTTTTTATGGACAGTTCTTTTGGAACCACGAACGTTATCATTAGAAGCATATGGTTCTGATAATTCAACCGGATCTACTCTAGGAGCTTTGTATTCTTCGATCAGGGGACCTGTTTTATCCACGGGATCACCACTCTTGATTTGTGAACCTAATTGATTGGCATTTGACACCAATGTAGTAACTTCCGTTATTGCTAACCTTATTTCAGCCTTGATTTCATCTTTCATTTCATTCATTGACTATAGTGAATTGAAGTTTACATATATAGTGTATTAAAAAATGTAGATTAAAAATAATAGATTAAGATTATTAAAATTTAAAAATAAAATGATTTAAATCACAACCATACAATACCCTTTTCAACATTTCAAGATCTTCTGCCACATTTTTTGCTTCAATTTCTCTTTGTTCAGCATTATACATGGCCATAGTAAAATTCAAATCATTACAAACTTCTTCAAATTCTTTAATATTTTTTTCAAAAGCATCTTTAACAGCATTAGCATTTATAAACTTTTGAAAATATGTTAACTGCGTAACTTCTTTAGAAAATTTCCTAATATTATCTAAAACATTAACAAATCTAACCCAAGCATAATAATAATTTTGATCCCTAAAATTTTTTTCATTTGCTTGATATTTTCGTTGCAATGATTTAACAGCCGTTTGTGCAATTTCAACACGATCTAATAAAGCCAGACATATTTTTTCATTACATTTTGCATTTTCATAGATTGATAACATCTGAGAAAGTATGGAGGTAACCATGTTGAATAAGGGGACGAATGGAGTAACTGCATCTCCTACAGTTTGGACACCGGAGAGTGTTTGACCGGCCACCGTAGTTGGTCCACCAACCTTTCCATATTCTCCCCGTAGATGAATTTCTTCATGATGTTTTTGTTGTTTTTGTGAAGTCATTATTAATTAAATCTTAGTGTGAGATATGTTAATTGTAAAAAAAACACTTTTTTTTTTTTTAAAAAAGTAAAAAGTAGTGTGAACCAAAATTCAGGATGTACGCATATACATGTTTATATTGCTTACAGCAAAAAAGTTTCTACATTTAGTTATGAAAGACATAATATAACCGATTTTATCGATCTGCGACAGCTCGTGATTTATTTATTTGTTTGTTTGACAAAGTGCTAACGTTAGTATATAACGGAATTTTTGAACCGATGCAATAGAAAAGTAACACATCATTTTTAAGAAACACAAAATTTCTTCAATTAGAAGGTTTTTTTCATTCATTTCATTCTTTTTATGAATAGTACGTAGAAAATATCCTTTATTATTTTTGCAAGAACATATCAGATATTACTAAACTAAGTAATTTCAAATGTGTTATACATATTCATGAAAACTTCTAAATATAAATCATATCCATTTAAGGAATAATACGTATTCTGGTATTACCTTTGTAACTTCCTACATTTAGTATCCTGTATTACTTATTTAGGTTGTGTATTAGTATTTATACCTTATATAGTATTTCTTTATGATTTGCCTTTATTTATTCAGCCCTTATTATAGCCGGTAGTACGTACTTAGATAACGTCGCCGTGAATGTGAATACGTATTATTTATGACGCGTAACGACGTATAAATAACCCATAAATGAAAAATAATGAATTAGGAAGAACGTGCCGCTGTTTGTGAATTTTGTGAATTGATGTAAACATTAACGTGTAGGATTATTTATACGGCGGAAGGAATGTGAATCAGGAAAATGATCGTATGTAAAAATCTTTTGAATTCCCTTTACTAAACAGAAGTTCCTTAGTGACTATTCATAAAACCATTCATAATTCTCTGGAGTCTTTTCATCTTTTTTTACTTATTTTATTTTTGTCACAATGACATTAATTTTACTACTTTGCGGAAATCACAACTTTTTGCGATAGCGTCAAAATATTCTAGATTTAGTATAAATTATTAATTATATAGGTCGTTAAGAGGAAATTTCATAATAAATCGCAAATTTAGTTTCTTACTAACATTATTAACGAGGTATTAACGAGGTTTTTTGACGGGGTACGAAAAATTAGTAATTTTCGTATTCGTCAAAAAACCTCGTTAATACCTCGTTAATAGTTCTAGTAAGAAACTAAATTTGCGATTTACTACGAAAATTTTCTCTTAACGACCTATATAAATGTAAAATTTCCGCAAAGTATGATTGTTCATCTATTACTCACATTTTACTTGCATATTACTCATATTCTACTCACACATTACTCATGTAACACGTTAATACTTGTTTCACTATAATTTTATATAAACCCTATCTTTTTTTCACATACTTAAAGCTTACTATCTTGATCTAAACTTGACATGGTATTATCAATAGTGACATAAATTGTAGTAACCGTAATAATCTGAATTACCTCAGATCTTGTGATTTTGGATGGCAAATTAAGGGATCTATTTTTATTTAACTAAATCTATACACTTGAAAACCCTATTATGTTTATATCTCATGTTAGATACAATCATTTTAAAACTACTGTTGTTTTTAAGATTGTTGACGATAATGTTAACGATAAAATAAAAAAGAAATTAACTGTCTGTATAAAACCATAATTATGAATGCAATTATACACATATGAAAATATTTATAAAATCTGTAGGAATACTAATCAAAATCATTACTAAAATTATAATACTTTTAAACATTTAGAATTAGACTTTGCAATATAAGTGTTTTTTAACAGAATTAGAAATCAAACACTTACTTTTATATAAACTATCTTATAAAAATTAATGGTAAAAATATTTTTTTTAAAATATAAATCAATTATCGATATAAAGGATACCCACACACCGGATCCACCAGTTTAACAAACTAAATTTGAAATTATCAGATTTTTAATGGAAAACTTAAAATAGCTATAACGAATTTAATAGTAAAAAGCCATATTATGTATAATGAACATTTTTTCCAGTCCATTTATTGAATTTTAATACAATGTATCAGCTGGCAACTTATCAAATAACGCCTTATTGGGGTAGATAAAGCTATTTTCTCGACTTTCAATATAAAAATTTGATTGGTTCCAATTCATGGCATCATTCTTGACAACTTCAGATAAGTATCGGGAATAAAAATCAGTAAATAGTCAAAGGACAATCGGCTGCTATGATTGCTTATGATAATTAAACAAATTTATTTATAAACCAGTATAAAATTGTATACCACAATATATATATATTAATATAGTTTAATAATCTTAATAAATTTTAATATAAATATTGTATATTAAGCAATAGATCTATTTTAAGATTATTGTGAACAAATTTAAATACAGTATAAAAATTATAATTATTAAATAAATGATTTTCCTGAGTATTTGAACGAAATAAAGAAAAAAGTTGTGACTATGCCTGTTGCTACATACATATTGTTATCAGTCTTTGCTATATCAAGAGTAATTTCCCATCCACATGATACAATTTTCTAAAGTGGTTTGAACGTTCACAAAATTGTGCTTCTGTACAAGCAATAGCTTATCATGCGCACTGTGCCAGTTGCACTCGTTGTTATTGATTTCTGACGATAACAAAAACTCACTCTTTGATTATATATACTCCCATGATACATAGAAACATAGCACCAATTTCAAGAACCGTTGGTGTCTCGTTATAATGGCGAAGTAATTTAAAATCCCTAGTAACATCTTTATAAATCAAAGTTGTTTAGCAAAGAAACAAAAATATGCACGTATAAGAAGTTTATTAAATTTAAAGTCAAACAAAAGGTAATGCCTATGTTTACACTTTTAATATTTTCCATTTGATAACATTTTGCCTATTTTCTACTTTTGAATTCATACCCGCTTGTAGATATACAGACGTTGAAGCTAGAAATAAAAAATTTCTGAATATAAGCGTCTGCTTACAATAATTTTACTACGGTAAACATGAACCAAAAATTTTAGGATTAGTTGTCTTGATATCAAAATTATATTCATTAATGACGATAGTGTTTGAAGTTGTATAAATTCTTTGGTTATTTTACATAGTCTTTTGATGGATTAGGAACTCAAATATTTTTGAAATAATGATAAGTTGGATGTGTCTGAAATGATGAAATAAGACGGTTCAATGCAGTTACTAGAACTGACTTGGTAGAAATTCGAAATGCAGTTAACTTGGGCAGATTTTTTAACCATGTTAAGATGGTTGATGCTGCATTTTAGGGTGAAATAAATAAATGTTAGTAATAATAATGATATCAAATTAATAAATGTAAGTCGGTTAAATCAATGATGTAACATAAAATAGCCTACTGCATTAAAAATGTAGTGTAGTTTAATTTAATAGAGTTAAATCATGTGTTCGTGATATTCGCACATACCAACACTGAAAAAAAAGTAAAAAAAAAAATGAAATGATCTTTTATAAAAGTCACCGAATTTTATTCAACTTATAGCATTCATCCAAAGCTCGTAAAAAAATTGAAAAACCATCGCAAAAAAGGCTTCAATTATACAAGAAAAAATCCACGCCCCAAAATACCCAAAAAAGTACTATGCAACATACAGCTCAAAAACTAAATGACGCTGGTGTGAATGTCCAAGCTGCTATGAATATTTTTACAAAGCATCGTACTATAATATGTACCGTTCACAGAATGAAAAGTAGCGCATCGATATGGCAAAACTTATAGCACCTGGTACCAAAAAGGTATATATACGTTTGTATATATTTATTTTACGTTTACATTTTGTGATACAATATTTAACTTTTTATCTTATAAGAATCCTGAAGCAAATTTAATCGAAGGAAGCAATGAAGTTGATTGTGCCGAAGGAAGCAATGAAGTGGATGGTGCCGATGAAATTAACTGTGAAAATAATGAAATCGATGATGAATCCGACAATGAAAATATTGATAAAAATGAAAACCAGGTCAACTCGTTTACCCAATCTCGATCTTGATCTCCCCTTACTCCTTTATCTGTTTCGCAAACAATTCAACATAATAATACTCAAGGATTTTGCAATAATGGTCTTTACTAATTGTAAAGTCAAGATTTTCTTAGTAATTAAAATAGTTTTTTTAATTTGTAAAAAACTTTAATGTAAACTTTAAAATGCTGTAATAACTAACCGGGTTGTTATTAAAGGGTAATACCCCGGATGTGCTTAAAAACTATAATAATGCTTCACTGTTATATTAATGTGCATAATAAAAACATCGGTGTATTTTACTTAATAATGTACTGAGCTAAATACGTACTAACTAGTTACAAATTACCTCCTAACAAAAATCATGTGAGAGAGTTGAGCCAGGGTATTATTATAATAATAAACACAACGCACATATTATAAAGCTGCATTATACATATATACTTTGTTGTTCACTAATGTGTTCAATCCGATAAATAGATCAGTATTGGTAGTGGGCATGCATATGGTGTTGGATATTATTATCGTGATGAAGGTGACATTGGAATGACCACGAAACATTCATTCAATATCAAAAACCTGCAGAATGTTGTTATGTTGATCTCTATTAATACATCCTTAGTCAAGCTATGATTATTATAGAATCACTGTTTTTTCAGAACAATTAGAACATAGGTCTGAAGCATCAATTGAAGGATTATCATTGGGTATGATAATATTAGAATAATTAAGCTGGAGATTCGTTCCTCTATACGTATTAGCTGTAAAAATGATTCAAAATTATCAAATATTCATAAAAAAAAAATTGCAATATTACAATGAAATATAATGTAGCATTAGGACAAACCACTATTCCTGTCTCTGACATCTCTGGAATGCAAGATATATGATATATCAGAATAAACCTTATTGTCATCTTAAATAAAAATATTATAATCTATTAAAAACAAATCATAAACAACTTGTAAGACAAATACATTTTTCATGTTGAAAAGTTCTATTATATCCTATTTTTTTTGTCTGAATGATCTTATTTTAGTTTAAATCTAAAAGTGATTATCTTGCTTAATCCAAATGAATGATATATTATTAACAAATATTAACCAAAGATGGTCTAGAGAAACTTATACATATTGCTTCTTGAGTCTGATTTTGCAATTATCAGAGTCAAAATTATGATTAGTTTCTGAAAAGGCTAAATCTTAAATAAAAAATAAAATTATTAATAAATAAATAAATATAAAATTGTAAATATAAAGATAAATTGATATTTACACAATCTGACTCAGTTTTTGTCTAGAAAATAATGTTTTTTCTTCCCACATATGAGTATTTGATGTAGTTTGATACACATACTATATTATTAAATTTATATATTTAGTAGTTGAAAAGATCAGTATGTTTGTATAATAATATTGTGCTCACCTCTTCAATTGCCTCATTTTTACATCAAAGCATCAAGTATATTCAATTGATCTCATTTTATTTTTATATTGTATTGAATATAGGAGTAAAAAATGCAATAAATTAGTTATATATCAAATAAAAATCTTATATTCAAATAGTTAAAAATGTATTAAGAAAATCTGAGATGGTGTACAGAACACTCTGTGGTATCAATTTCACTTAATATCAGTGTTGTTATTAGGCTTAAGTTTAGTATTTTTATTTAGCTTTTAGCCTTAGATTTAATTAGCCTTAGCTTTATATTTAATTAACCTTAGCCTTAAGTTTAGTTAGGCTAAATTTGACAGTTTATAAGTCTATATAACAACACTGCTTAACATAGCAAAACATATTGAAACATGCTAAGAAAACTTAGAGTAGCATGCAGAATACCCCATCTAATATTGACTTGATTTAAAATTAAGTTGTATTGCAATAGTTATACTATTCTAAAAAACTTGATTAAGAAAGCTAACATTTAAGAGCTTAATATAGCTCCCTCTGAGATTGTCAATTGACTATACTCAGGCAAGGTTGGCAATAGAGCAAATGGAGCTCAATAGTTATATATATGGAGCTCAAAAAATTAGTATTCATTGGCTCTATTCAGAATTCTATTGGTTCTATTCGCAGCTCCATTGGGCTTCATTAAACTCCATTGCCAACCCTGACTCCAGGATATTAGAGTCAGTCATTTGACAATTACAAAATTAAAAAAATTATATAAATTTTGTGTATTTTATATATTTATTGCATATTTTATATACTCCTTGTATATTTTATACACCTCTTGCATATTTTAAAATATGCAAATTTATATAATTTGTTTAATTTTTGTAATTGTCAAATGACTGACTCTGATACTTTAGAGTATAGTTAATTGACAATTTCCAGGAAGGCTATATTGAGCTCTTAAATGTTAGCTCCCTAACCTTAAAAGATTTTTTAATGAAGATGTTTTTAATCTTTCTTTGTCTAAA